TACGAATTAAATCTTGTTGGCCTGGGCCGAACGAAATCAGAAATGTATACTCGCTGTGATGTCAAATGTCAATATTTTGTTAGTTTCGCTCAGTATATTTTTCTAGCAACTGAATTGTCTCTAGGTTTAGAAACAATTATCAATGAAACTAAAATTCAAGTAAGTCACGGTTCTGTATAAAAAATCAACTTTTTCAGGCCGACCTGGGTCACTTTGCTCAAGGCTATGCTTCAAGAATTTATATTATTTCTTGTTGTATAAAAATATGCGAATATTTTGATATAATACAAAACAATTCAGCGCAAACAGCTGTAACCCATTTCAACACGTCTCAGTTATTTAATCAATGTTATTCCTTTTTTTAGTAACAATTAGAAAGGTTCTGAAAATTAGAATTAATTTATATTCTTCTTTCCGACAAGCTTTAAAGGGTGACAAATTTGCAAGTGATAACTAATGTCATTCTTACACGCCAGCAACTTCGAAGAACAGTCTACTGTGTCTCGGAATTTTCCACACTCAGAAGTAGAAAAGGAACATTTCTACATTATTGCTTACCGTCATTCTCATCTGTCAACATAAAATCTACTGTCTGTCGAAATCATTTACGTTTACCTAACGTTGCGTGACCACAAATTGCGGCTGTAGTAGTAGTCAACACCATATGTAATCGCGAATTAGTACAGAAAAGAACAATATTGTAAACACAAAAACCTCGTGCAATACTGTCTAAGACTACTATTTAATGCAATACAAAGAAAGGGAAATCACAGAGCAACGAAACATTTCATCGTCTTTGATATTAACTATATATGCTTTGATTGACATGTTTACGCTCAGCGAGTCATTTCTTTCGGCCAGGGGTTTTCCCCGAGATTAATTCGTACATTCTATAAAACGAAACTTTATATAACAGTTTAAGGTAAACAAACCAATGAAAATTATGTCTGTAGTATGACTAATTCTGAATTTTCTAATTTCTTTGAGACATTTTATTTACAGGAGGTAAACAAAGCGAACAGAGCGAAGTTCGTATGTCACAATCAGGACTCATGGCATTGAGGCGCGCAGAATTCGAACACACTGGACACACTGGCATTGAATGACTATCCTTGAAGCCAAACTGTACAGTCAAACAATTTCATTCGAGTGCAAAACCAAAGAATAATGATGAAAGACATATATTTACATAATCAAGCTTCATTCAGTGTAGTGTAAGGTGGTTTTATTTGTTAATATCAAGAATTATGTTTACCGATAAAGTATGCTCGATTTCGACACATTTTCAAATTTTACAAAGTTTGCGCGCTTGTCATTTTTGTCAAATGGTAGATCAGAAAGATATTATTGGCGATTTGTGTTGACTAATGTTAGTAGTTTATAGAAAAGTTAAAGTCATGTGCCAATCAAGTGCCACGATTTTGAAATAAGCTTTCGAAGTTGACATATTTTGAGACGATATCCTTTATCCGTTCAGGAGGGTCAATAACTGCGCTGTTTTCTATTTTATACCAAAGAATAATGATCTAAGTCATATCACCCGCGAAAATAGAAGGATAAGTCTATATTTCTGAGCAAAATTTTGAAATTTAGGTATGAATTTGATTTAAAAAATAGCGCTGAAAATATGTCGATATTTGGCCTTCATTCGGAGTATCAAGTTGGTTACCAGTCGATCGAACATCAATCGCCCCCAAAAATAATTTAAAGGAAATTTGAGTAAAATGAAATCGATTTTAGTTGTTCCCAAGGATAGATCTTCAAAATACTAGAGTATGAGAGAAATCTATTTTTGAGCCCCATATTGACCTGGAGGTTTTTACGGAGACAGCCTCTTAAATGTAATGTATTCGGTAATGTAAAAGCTTGGTATACTGAACCTTAAGGCAGCCATTTATCTTCGTCAGTTTCATGATCAGACTCTTCATCAGCACTATTTCCAAAAAATATATATTCCATCTCCTTGTCGTGCATGTCATCATCACTGCTTTCATCACCATGGTCTTCTTCGTCACAACGAGATCGTTTGGGGACTGGTTCGCCAGAGTCGTCCTGTGTATCACTATTATCATGATACATCAGAGACCTTGGAGTTGGTTGTTGGTCACCCTAAACAAGATATTTATCATTAAGTATAAATACTAACAATTGCATAAGAAATTGTTTTGTCATAAAAATTTAAATGCAATATATTTCAGACATGTCTAATATTATACCTGTGAACCGAACAGGAACAGCACGTATGGTTTCAGCATTATATGTCCAACCATATTCTTCAAAAGGAATATGGTCTACTATCTGCTTGTTGAAGTTTAACCAATAGTAAAGTTGACAGTGAATTTGATAAATTGCTTGGCAGAGGGAGTCAGGGTCGGGTGGAATTGACTCAGACGACTTGGTTTTCAATGCTTTGTACAGTCTCACTCTTGTTTCCACTAGCGTTTCATTTTTTTCCATTATATGCTATCGTTTGCACAACTTTCTTCTCATTACAGTACACTTGTCAAACTGCTACTTTGTTTCATCAGTTTCTTGATTAATCTAACTTTTCCCGTACCGAAAAATGAGGGCATGGAATCACACCCAGCTAGTGCGTGTATATCTGGTAGCTTTGTGGCGATCTCCTCTCCCAAGTAGTCTGCTACCTTACCGATGTCAACATACTTGTCATGGTCAATCTTCATATACCATTTGTGTGCTGTTTTTTGTACACAATATTCATACACCATCAGAACAGAATACATCTGTATCCTTTGCAACGACCACCACATTCGTATCTTGAAGACACGCATGAAGATTAAGCGAGTATCTGCCTCTTCATGGTTACTTTTGAAGAGTGACATTTCTTCTTCGTCCTCTGTAATCACGTCTCTCCTTTTTTGGTAAATATGAGAGGAACAGAAAACTGCTACTTTCCATCTTCACACTTGAAGGAATTCGCAGCCAATTTGATCAAATCTGTCTAGCTTATTCTCGATGTTATGGAAAATGCCAACCACTCATTACCTTTCAGCATTTCTTGATCAAAACCTTGAACGTTGAGCCTACGGCTCTCCTTTCACGCTTCTCGTTTAGCTTCTCGTACTCTCCTGATAATAGGTATCGTTAGTAATTTCAAGATCAATAGGATTTAAGTCGTCTCGTGGAGTCACTAACCTCAGTAAATTTATTAACCATTCTCGATATGTCGGTTTTGGTTTGATGGATCGCATAGCTGCCATCCCATCAATGAACCATCTTGCATTTTGTGGACACTCATGCGATGCTACTCTTGATAGCTCAATAATGAAATTACGAATAATTGTTTCGGTGCTGGTCGCAAAGAGTAGCGTAGCCAGCCGGACGATTTAGTCCCGCTATGGAAATATTTTCGAAAAATTTTGGAAGTATTGACTGTGAAAACAATCAATTTCTATAGAAATGAATAATGATAATAATTTTGCATTTGCATAGCGGGACTAAATTGTCGGGTTGGCTACGCCACTGGTCGCAAAGTTCCTTCAGGCGTTGCAATAGCAAGTGAAATAGAAGTAAGTGAATACTGCATGGCTTTTTCGATATCAATTTGCTCAGCAGGTCTCCAAAAGCTTGGCGAACTTCTTTAAGTGCTGAAACTTTTCTCGGCTGCTTGCCTTGTTTTGACAGGCCCGTCCGCAGTTTCAGTTTTTTAATTGGCTGGAAGAAATCAACAGTTTGTTTAACTAAGCGATCTTCTACAAACTGTTTGTACTTTTCGCTTTAGATATCAGGAGACCGCAACATGTCGGTGACTACTTAATGATCTAACTCTTTACCAGTGGTTGTGTCGAACTGCTCCTGAGCCGAATGAGTCGACCTGATAATCTTCAAGCTTTTGTTTAAGCTTACTCACGTGTTATTCATGAAGTTCTTTAGCACTTGCTGTGGATTCTTTGTGAACGGCAGACGTACACAAGTTGATGGATGTGTGATGTCTTGACCCAGGTATTTACAGTGGTGAAATCAGTACTATAACCTGGTCGGAAGGGACCAGTAGTGCCCTTTGCCTTTCGGTTGAAAATCTCTGTGATCAAGTCCCCGTTGATTGCTGAAAACCTTTCACCTAATAAGCTGCCTCCGAAGCCTCTGTCGCTTAACTCTGTAAACGCTGTATCGTGATCTGACACAGCTCGAGCATAAGCAGATCCACATGCTGGAATGACACTATATACCTTGCGTAATTGATGTGATCAAATACGAAACACAACTGGAGCATTTCCCTTCCTGCTTGCATGTGTCGGCTGAGATCTTTTTCTCTAACTGCAGACACGAGTGCAAGAAGAAACATCTCTTAGATACGAGGTTGTCATGCGGGATTCTATGCCATCTTCTACTTGTACTATTTTCTGAACAAGTAATTTTAAAGCAGGACAAACCATGACATCCTCCATCGCTTCCGGACTTGGTGCAGAGCTTAGCTGCTGAAACTTCAACTTTAGGTTTGGATCAATTTCGCTAAAACCTGATGTAATTTTCTCAGCTCTGAACTGCACAATGGCATTGAATGACTCCTTGTGTAATCTCATATTGCGATAATAACGACCACCATTGAATGCATTTTCAGATGATTCGAATGCTATGGTGCCAGCACGAATGTCGTTGCAAATGATACCCTGCAAAACCTTAGCTGGTGAAATCCGCCCATTAAAATTATTACGTTTTCGCAATCCTTCGGTTATTTCCAGATAATGTGACTGATCAGTATGCGCGAAAATATGACCAATCTCAAGCTCTTTTAAAAGATCACATAGATAGTCAACAAAATCTATACAAACTTTATAATCAGGAGCTTCTGGAATAACAGGTAAATACTCAAGCAATGCTTTTCCATGTTGCACTACCGTGATTTCTTTATTAAAGGGAGTCCAGGAACCTACGTTGTTGGCAGTTTCTTCATTCGTATTTACCGAAACTGCGCTTGGCAGAGACCATACTATATCTCTCTTCAAACACTCGTCAAGCAAGTCGTGCTCTTCGTTGTCACTGTGATCAGGAAATAAGGGTGGTCCTTTCAATTTGCCAACGTAAAATTCGGGAACAGTTTTTACCTCGTCTTCGTCGTCAATTAGATCAAGACTTTAAGGTCCGATTTCGCTTCCTTGTGACGGAACTTCGCCTAATGACAAATATATTAATGTAATTAATACTTAAGGAATGCCATTTTCTGTAGAAAATATATAAAGTGCTGCAGAAAAATAGAAAATATATATTGAAATATATGTATGTAGAAAATATATTTAAGTGCTGTAGTAACGTTACCTCGAAGTAACGGCTGAAATTGTATTGAAATTGAAATGCGATTACTGCCATAAGTATTGAGTAGTGCCTTTGCCAGTCATCGTCTCTTGCCTTCAATCGTTATTGTCAATGGTAGCGTGAGTTGCTGGCCAATTGATTATCATCTTAGACTTTCGTCTGTTTGCAGAAACCATTCTTGCCCAGGCGATATTTTGTAATCTGACATCGCTGTATGAAATAATGTTATTGAGTTTATGCAATATTGACAACACTTCCTTGCTACTTGTTAAGCGGTGCACCGTCATTTCAGCTACAGTCTTCTTAGCCGTTCTCTCTTTCGTCAAATGAGACTTCCAATCTGAAGCCATTGACCAAATTTTTGTAGCTACCGGTCGTGATCTTGTTATGACACACCCGTACTCGTTCACTTTGTATGGCGGATTCATAGAAGCATAGATAACATAATAGATTTCTTTAAGTGGGCTTCTGTCTAACATCTCTATCAGTTCGTCTGGGGTGCAAGGCCACCTCCTTTCTCCGTCTACTCAAGGCCACTTTCATTCTACGTCCGTTCTAAGGTTAATATCCGCAGCATGTACGATTACGTGACGACCTGTTGGAAAGAATCCTAGGTTGTCGTTGAATTCTTGAAGAAGCTTTCTTTTCAACGACCGTGTATCTGACAACAAATGTTCGCAGTCCTCTTCACCAAATAAATTTTGGTAATCTTTTAGCAAGTCATTTCGAAGGTAGGCATTTTTCTGGTGGACAATCTTCATTCTGACAGCGATAAAAAACATTCCTTGTATGTCCTTTTCATGATCTTCAAGCCGTTTGTCTTGTTCTTTTTTGGTCGTTGGTGTTGACGCGAACTTGATATAACAAGACTGGTGGTAGTAAACATCTATAGAATATATATCATGGCAAGGTCCACATTCAAGCAAGAACAATCTGTTTGCAGCTGAATTGAAACTTTGCTGGGTATCCTTTAGAAATATTTTCCTCCTCTCCTGCAGACGTTCATAAGCTTTTTCATCAGTGCACCTTGCAAGAAAGATGCTCTGTGTGAGTTACAAATGAAAGAAAGTCGTTTGAGGTGCTCACTTGTCGACCTACGATTTACAGCTATAGTTTGTGATTCACTTTCCGGCGAAGCTTCTTCAGTGCATTCACCTTCCAAGTCTATTATGCCGTATCTGTTAGTAAACGTTCGAATCTTGGTACGAAAATCTGTTAGACATGAGGCAGATGAGCAGTCCGAAAAGCACCGCTAGATGATTCAATTTTATTAAAAACTTGCGTAAAGGCAAACTTCGGTAATTCAGATGAAATATGGATTTTCGACCACAAAAGAGCTTGCTCTTTGAGAGCTGTCTAACCCTTGTCCGTAAAATTAGTTTGCTTCACCCCATTTGCTATTGAAGTATCTCACAGTAGGCAGTTTTCTTTTTTCGAGGTGCCAAGCGAAAGGAACGGCTGAATCAATGACATGTGTCACATTTTACATTGCTTAAATATGAGGAAAACGTTCATTCCCTAACAACAAATTATATAATAATTATGTACGTGTAGAAGACATCTATAAATAACCCTTACCTAACGCGTTGACATCGAAGGGACTATACTCCACTCTGTACCATTCAACATTGATTATGGAAATTGGAAAATTTTCACTACTACAAATACAGTAACTTGATTAACATTATTTTCAACCCCGTATGTCTTTAATAATACTATTTTGATTCAAATATTACTAAGCTTTGTTGTTACTCACAAGGGAAATAATTTTTAAATTATATTTATAGTAATGTTATATTACGATGACATTTGAGTGCAATTTATTCTAAGAATATTACTTATTCTTAAAGACTCAATTTTTCTTCTCTAACATCTCAATTTTTCTTTCCTAACATCAAAAATTGCAGCTTTGAAATAAAAACGCGTTTAATTTGGCGTTTTACGAGTAGTTCGACTGATTTCCAACAATTTAGAAACTAAACAGAAAGGCATGTGGGGAAATAAGAGGTCGGGATCGGACGTGGTGGACAAGAAATTTGATGGCGATTTTTGAAGAAACGTCAGACTTCTTCGTCGATTTATATGTCAATTTTTTTTACCTATTTTCCAAACATAGGACATTTTAAGAAGGTTTTAGAAATAATGACGTCACGAAACAGGCGACTTCCTCTACAATTTTTTGTGAGCAACTTTGGATTTGGAATCACCTCCCGGGTCGATTTTACACATATAGAATTGTTTAAGTAATTTTGACTTCACACATGACCTTCTTTTGCTTTATTTAATAGCTTTTTATATATCACTGATGACGTCACAAACCATTTGACTTCTGTGCCGAATTTTTTTGGGCCCACCGCGGATTTGGAATCTCCGTGGTCGATTTCATAGAAATCTGCAATAAAATTTGAGGTTAGGCAAATAGCTTGCTTTTTTAGAAAAAACCCTGTCTAATTGTTATTGTACTCAGTCAGAACTGCAAAACTATATATCATCAAAAATTGTGAGCATTATCAAAAAATATAGTATACCCTGAGTACTCTAGTGACAGCCAGGTGACTGTATAAAATATAGGCTAGCTGGTATAGGATTATTTCATATTATGCTAACATTGGACATATCTCAGAGATATATTTTTACAGACCGTCATATACTTTTTACAAAAGTCGGTCGACATGTTATTACATGTAACTGCTGGTATAAAGTTAATATATGCAGACAACAATCCACACTGTGTTGCCATTGGACTATCTTTGTACAAGTCAGATAATTTTTCATCCGTACATATTTGTGTGTTCCAATGCGAGCACGAAACTGCTCAATTGATATACCCAGAATAACAATATTAATATTAAATTATCACTGTGATTATTTATACCTTGAGGTACGATGTTCTATCAAGCTCAATCAGATTTTCTACGACGAGATGCACTTGTTTACAGTATGAAGACTTGTATGCACCTAAAAATTTAATAATTTAAAGTTACAGGATATCCTTTTTGGCGTTTTGCGAAAAATCGCTACTGCGCGCTCAATATCAGTCCGATTTTCATCAAATTTTCACCAAATGTTCTCCAATGCATGCAAAACATGGTAAAGTTGTAAAATTAACAAACAATAAAGTAATGTAAGAATTATTCAGGAAAATCTTAAATCGCGGTACCGTTACGCTTTTGAGTTGTGCTCCTGCTGGTTTTAAGTTATATTTATGAAAATATCATTTTAATTTATATTTATGAAAATATCATTTTTATACAGTAAAATAGTTGTTCTAAAAAATTGTGTTCGGAAATTTTTGTTTATTTCGTCATTCCGCTGATATGGCGATTTCTTTGACGACTGCAATATATTTCTGATATCCAAAATATCCAAAATTAAAAAAGCCGAACACCATTTTGAAACTGACGTCTTTAGCTATGTTCTGTGAAAATTTAAGAAAAATTGGTTAAAACCAAATTGGCAGGAACACAACTCGTTTGAAAATCAGTAATTACCGTAAAATTTTTCGGGAGAAAATTGAATTTGAATATTACATTTTCAATGTTTTTCTTATTGCAGCGAAATGTATTTTATTAAATAACTCTGCGATTTTTCAACATTTTTCGTTCAATCTTGGTCAGATAGTAGAACTAGTCTAATGCTGTCATGGAAACCAATAAAAAAATTTTAGGCAAAAGTAAAACTCAAAGGTGTTCTGTAACCTTAAATACATTTAATTCATTTGTTTCAAGTTTCACCATACTTCGACCAAAACACATTGTTATTTATCATCAAACGATTATCTTACCTTGAAAAATATTTCGAAGAAATTTGCGGCAAGCCAGTTACAAAATATACAGCAGGCAACGAGGCATACATGTAACATCTTTACAATTTGTTATAGTCCATGGTGGTGTTCGCGAGGTGCAACCAGGGCATTCAGAAAGTCAAATCGCGATATGGAGTATGATATTTTTAAAATATCTGTCACGTCAAAATACGTCATAAATCTAATCATCCGGACGTACATCCGTACATGCACAAAATCAAGTTCTCGTTCGGCTATGCATAACTCGGCCAAAGAGACTGGGCACACGTAAACACAGTGCTTCATGTATAGTGTGCTGGTTTCGGCAGCAATAATCATTTCCACAAGCCAACAAATGTAAAAATAATAACTCCAATAATAAGGAATAAACTGAGTTTATCAACTAACAGTCCTCCTGGTTGATCCGGCTAATTATAGTAATTTCTGAACTTCTTTTTTCATGTTAGTCGTTTCCAAATATGTGTATATGTATATAAATGTATACAAAAGTATAATGTATATATTGTTGAGTAAAGACAAATAGTATATTGTGTATATTGTAAGGGGTTAGGCTTCAAGTGGGACGAAAGTCTTGTTCCGTTCTTCTGTCACATAGTTATCTTCGTCAATGTAATATTTTGTTTTTGTATGGTGACCAATTCAATAAATAAAGTAAATAAGATGATAATGGAATGCTTACGTGCTAAACCCGCTGGGAAAGAGAATGGCGTGGTTGCCATTCCACTTGTCCACTAACCTCCATTTAAGAGCTAAGCGAGGTATGGCGTTACTCATCTCCACTATAGGCTACAACACACTACGCCGAAGATTGGTGAAGCAACCCTTCCAGCATATTCTTGGGCATTTGTACTGGTATTAGACTCGTTGCCGGAATCGGACTCTAGCCACTCATCCTGCCCACGGACGGCCTATGAGAGGGTTGAGCTAGAAACGAGGGCTTCAATGGATAGCTGATCTCTTTCGGCCCAGACTTCCCTTGCGGAAAGGCTCTTGCGTCGGATTCTGGAATTCAAGTTGGCAACAGCGAGAGCAAACACGACCTTTGAAACTGGGCCTCCTTCAGGATGTACTGTAAGTTAAAGTGCATATGACATGAATTTTTTTACTTTCTGAAATGAAAGAACTCTTTAAGCTGTAGTGCAACTTATTTTTCAGTTTCTTGTTTTTACGGTTTGTTCGCGAGATATTTCAATTTATTTGGTATGTAAATGAGTGTGAATATGTCCGCTAATTTATGACATCACGTTGGTTGCAACTAGGGGTATTTGCACCAATATATAGGCCATCGGCAATATACTGGTCATCGGCGGTATTTGCACCAATATACAGGTCATGGAGCCAGGCAATTACCCATGGCAGATCTGGTGTAGACAACGGATACCTTTATATGGAGTGACAACTGAACAATACTTCATGGAAGAAGCAGCCAAGGGAATTTGATAAGAAGACTTCAGCAATCATGTTCTCACTAGCTACTCTGGTTTAAATAAATTATTACAAAGCCCAGTCGAATTGTAATCAAGACCCAACGTTTCGACAATCCAGTCTAGTGTCTTCACCAGGGATTTTTGTCATATATATATAGAGCAAGAGTAATCATGCTTTGAGTAGGGATGCCGGTCCCTATTTGCCAGGGGAATACTTGCATCTCAGTGGCAGCTGACGTCATCCCTTGGGTATTAAAGATGCTACGATTGCAAATTTAGATCATGATCATCCCAGCAACACCCTCGTGACTGAGGACGGAATTCTTTACGTCGTGGGTTGTCCAAGGCACTGGTAGGATTTCGCAGTGAGTTTGTTCTGCCAATGCACATTGTCCTAATTTCGTCGAGTAATCGTAGCTCATCAAGAAAGGAAAAGAGTGCCTGAGATCTTTCATCGTCAACGACGATGTTGTTTTATAGGGTAGGGGTTAAATCGTCATCAACATCCAACGCCTCTCCATGATGGTGATGCGTCCACCAGCAGTTAGTAAGTTATCTTCAAAGAATGCCATGAGGCGTTGGTCGGGTCGAGGAAGTGAGTCCCGGTGGACTGGAAACCATAGTGCTGGTGGAATTTCCGTCAAATATCATAAAGTGAGACTGAATTCTTAACGATGGAACTCCGTGGAACGAGAGGGGGGAAATTAGCAATTTGTCCCAACGATAAATCTTAAACGGGCGTTCTTTTGAAGGGCGGTTAACCGTCTAGGTTCAGTAACGTGGACTTTATCATGGGCCAAGCCTCTGTGGGGAATAATACATGTTTTCTTTTGCCATGTGGCTTTGCAAAAGAGTATAAAATTGCTGTCGAGGGATAGGATATATATTAAGTTCTGTCTGCAGTTTCGTAAGAAGTTATGGTTTCGTTCTTGGATAATTGTCATTGTTTAGGCGCTCGAGCCGCTATTTTGGCGAAAGATAAAATACGGGTGAAGAGGCTTGAGATCTATTTCGGACATTAGTTCATCAATGAGGGAGATCATTTTAGATTTGTGTTTTTGATTAATCATGTTAAAGTGTCGTCCCAGATGCTCAAATGATTCTCCAGTTTTAATCGTTGTATGAGATCTTTATTGATCAAAAGCTTAGGCAGGTACTTGGCTAATTTTGATAAAACTTTTTTGATGCCAAATGTGCTACATTTATCAATTCTAACAACCATGTTGGACCATTCGCACCAGATAGAGAATCGATTACGGATATGTTGATTTTTCGACTCTTGACCAGTAATATCCGCAGCATCATCGGCAAATCAGTGTATAAGCTTTTTTTAAATTAGTCATGTGATCAGGGATGTGATGATAGCCAAGGACAGATTGGATTAAGTTGTGACGAACTTATCCAAAATCGTTTTCGAGGTCAAGTAGTGTGATGACAAGTGAACGTTGTTTTATCCGAGCATGTTGATTATATTAGCCATTTGCGCAGTATGTTCCATCGCCAGTTAATAAGACGATAAGTCATACACACAATCCATAGATAGAAATATATTTAAACAAGAGGCAACCTTTTCATTCAAGGAGCCAAAATTAATACAAGTAAACAAAACATGCGCTAGACTATATAAACGTCACCGTCACACGCGGGTGCATATCAAAGGCAATACGTCATGTAATACTGGCGTAACTTCTCTTTTTCTTATTTTATGACAAAAGTTAAAAATCAAAAATTGTATAACCAATTAACATTTATGATCAGATATTCCTAGCTATTTGTCCATCACACAGTCACCGAAACGTTCTGGGGGACGTCGTTGTCTGCTGGACCTACGCAGAGGCACATTCTCACCCGGGCCATTAACATATTCATTCCCTCTTGACTCGTCTTCAGTATGGGGCTCACCTTCTAAATTACTCCGTTCGCAGTAGGCATTGGCATTAACACTAGGTTCGTTACAGTGTGAAGTTTGGCTAGGCGGCGTAGAAATCGCTGTTGGAATACTTGGTGGCGCTGGTGGAGATGGGGTCACTTGAGACAGCATGGGTGGTTGTGATGATTCAGCTTCGTCAGCCGACGAGTCTTCGTCATTAGGAGTAGACTGACGGCAGCGTTTAAGCTCCGACGGCACTCGGATATCTTTACATGATAAGATGTATTTCGCAACTGTGAGCCCACGAACTTCTTGACATTGCAAAATGGTCCCTTTACTTCAACTACGAGGTAGCGGTCTCGTGCTCTTGTCTTGTTGCGGTCTGAGTATAGGTACACTAAATCACCAACGGTGATACGTTCGGGGGTACGAAATTCTGCAATTGGGGCCTTCGATTTCTCACTATGGGCATGGTTGCTTGTGCGTTGTTCATTCTGTTTCATGATAATGTCCTGATCTTGAAGAGGTATCTGTTCGTTTGAAAACTGATCGCGCTGGGACCACATTTCCCTAGCTGATAAACCGCGCGTTCGAATACGCGAGTTGAGGTTGGCTGTGGCTACCGCAAGCGTAACATGCGAAACTGGACCACCTAATGGATCACGATGGAGAAGCTCACTGACCACTTCTTGTACCGCTCTTTCTGCAACAGGATTCTTGTTGGGGTTCTTCGCATGACCTATTTCTAATGAAATCCTGTGCTGTCTCAGAGTATCATCGTTTGCAAGAGCTTTCAATCCGGGTGCTGGATCAGTTCTTATGACCGCTATGGGTCCATCTAATGGTCTCATTGGGACACATAGACGGATTAGGGCATCACGTAACGTGTCATGGCGTTCGTTTTCGAGAAGAGTTGTAGCTGTGAGTGAGGTTACACACTCTCGCAATACCAAGATCAGTTGTTTGGAGCGTTTCGCGATATCGGCAGCAAATGCTACACCAACAGTACTTGGTGGAGAGCAGGACGACTGTTCTATACGTGCTGTTGGGGTCTTTCGTAATGCGGCGCAATGGTGACAACTTTCACTTACACGATTAACAACTTTGTCAATGTCCAAGGCAAACAAATAACGTTTTACAACGACTTTAAGCTGATGGCTAGACGGATGGCCCAGACGAATATGTAGAGCCGTCAGCAAACCTTCTAGTACTTGCTGAGGGATAATAATACATTCACGGCTTGGCACGAGTGGTTCATTTCGTTTAACAACCAGCAAGCCGTCTTTGGCAATGGTAGCAACAAGGAGGTATCTTTTTACATCCGTAACGTTTGTGAGTTTCTTCGATGGACGTGTTCCTTGTAGTAAGTGGGCGCGGGTGCGTCGTAATTCGGGACATTCAGCTTGTATGGGCCCCCAAGTGGTTCGGTTAGTAAACGGAAGTCGCTCTACATCGGATAATATGTCCTGTACCGCCGCTCGTCTGATAACAGAATCTTGGGTCTGTTTCGTAAATGAACAAATTTGACAGGCCTCATCTTCACACGGTGCGGCATTGCGACTTGCAAAGTCAGAGGGGAGAATAGCAGAGCCAGATACATGTCTAACAGACGCCTGGTATCGGCTTACGGTAGAGAGAAACGTTGAAACCCTCGGGCTTGCGGAGAACTCACCACGACAAAGCTTTTCATAGGCCTGTACACAGGGCTTGCTGTCCGTTAAGATACAGGCCTGATGGTGCGATTGTATCAGGTAGGGGCTGAAGTGCTTGACAGCAACAGCAATGGACAAGGCTTCTACCTCGCATGGTAGCCATCTGACTTGTGAGCCCCGTAACTTCGCACTAAAAAAACCTGCGACACGAAGCTTGCCGTTTCTGGTGACGTAAAGCGTGGCGCCTATTCCAGGACTGCGAATAGCTCCATCAGTCACAATCCAAATTTGGTCTTCTGGTTTTGGCAAGGTTATAGTGCGAGCTGCAGACAAAGCAGCCTGTGCCCTGCAGAATACTGCATGGAGCTCGTCAGTCCACTGAATTTGTTCTTTGGACTGGCGGCCGGCTACGGCGTCGTCAAGTTTAGAGAGCAACGATGAACACCCTGGAATGACGCGAGATAGCACTTTAAAAGCTCCTATAAATGATCTTAGACGATACACAGTCTCTGGCTTTTGGCACGAAGCAAGGGTCGCAATGCGATGTGGACTTGGACTTAGTGTACCTGAATTCCATATCCATCCTAATATCGTTGTCGACTTAGGATTGATCACGGTCTTTAGTGCGGACAGACGGAGATCAGATTTCTGCAAGGCTACCAAGACTCTCTTCCAATTTTGTAAAAGCTCTTCAGGGGTATTGCCTCCGCAATATAGGTCATCTGCGATTTTTGCAACGACTCCTTCTTCCAACAGATCACCCAGCACTCTACACATCAATTCCTCAAGTGCGGTTTCGGAGCCCGGCATGCCCATAGCAGAACGTACATATACTCTTACACCGCGGAAAGGAGTAGCAACACCACAATACTTCATAGACTCGTGTGCGAGTGGCATCTGATAAAAGGCATTTGTCAGATCTGTAGCGATTAGGTGTTTCCATTGATGTGGCGAAGGGTAGAATCAACATTTGACATCAATGAAGGCTGTGGTTTACTATAACGACCAACATCTGCGAAGGCAGTTACAAGGCGGGAGCCACCACTCGACTTCTTCACAAGAAATGACGGGTTCAGATACTCCACGGAAACATTGACATCTTCCGGACCTTGAAAACACCCAACTTTTCAAGTTCATCAAACTTTGCCTGAAGCTCCTGCAATTGGTCACGGGCATATTGAGGTAGGCGACCCTTTCGCTGAGGTGGTTCCACAGGTCCCATGTTCACCTTAGCTTCGAATGAGCCTGCTGCTCCGTTATAGCCCTTGATATCTCGGTCGAAAACATGGTCATAGGACTCCATAAGTAAAATAAACTTCCTTCTGACGTCTTGTGGCGGGAGGTTGTCTGGGTCAAGGCATACATCCGACGAAAATGTATGGGTTTGTAACGACTTAGGAGCTGGGTGGACTGCTAGTTTGTGATCACCACAGTTTAATTCAGGTGTATACACTGGCCGTACCTGACAAAAATGCTCGTTTCGCTTTAACGACCGAGGTTCTGACGAGAGATTTGGAATTCGTATTCTCCCTGCGACACTTGACACTATGTTG